TATTCTATTCTAATCTATTCTATTCTATTGTAATCTATTCTATTCTATTGTATTGTAAAAGCAACAGGCAGTAGGCAGGAAGCAGAAGGGAGGTGCGCAGCTGGAATTTTAATGGAACTACATCATCAATGGTCGTCATGTAGGCTATGGTTTTTTTATGCACATTTTAAARACGTTAGAAAAGCTGCAATGGAACGACAAAATTTGCAAAGACTTCCTAAATTTTGCAAAAAGGTTTATCAGTTTTGAGGTGGTTTTTGGATTTTCTGAAAAAGAGTTAATGCGCAAAAAGGGAGATGGAAACACATTTGCTGAGTGTTTTTTTTTTTTTACTGTGTCCTGTCCGGCAATGTGAAACTCAGAATTGATGTCTGAGTGTCCAAATGAAGCCCAACACTTTTACTTTCACATGTGCATCATAATGGCATTTCACCATGATGCTCCATTACCTTTATTATAAATTATTTTGGGATTCATTCGTAACACACACCGAGACAGAAAAAATAAACAAAGAAGAGAAAAAGGAGAAAAGTGAAAAAAGAGATAGAAAGATAAAAAAGATGATGCGACAGAGATGCATTAAGAAAACATTTGAAGTCTGCCTCCACACCTGGAGTACTCATGTTTTACACATTTTATTATATTTTTCTTCTTTTGTTAGATTTGATACATGTTGCTCCTTTACACTGAAGCAAATTCCTACTCTGTGAATCCTGTTGGTTGAAAAAGGTAAAAAACCTGATTGTGAGTGTGAAATGTGCAGTCGTGAGGACCCTCTGTGATGAGGAGGTCAGCTTGGAGACACAGTCCAGAGGAGGAGCTGCTTCCAAACGATGGTCTCTGCTCTCCTGCCTGCTCCTCAGGACACCACAGGATTTMTCAAACATGATGAATGAGTCAAAGTTAGACTCTGGACATGTTTTTGATGAGAGGAGAACATTATAACATGATATAAAACTAAAATAAGTTGATTTTACATCATATTGTCCCTTTAAGATAAATGAAAGAAATTCTAAATTCTCTGTGAAAAGGTTTAAATGCTGAACATCTTGTAAACTTCTCAGAGTCTTCAAACTGTGCCTGAGTTGATGTGGTCACTCTCTGCCTTAATGAAGAATACCTGTGTTCAGATTGTGTGTGTGTGTGTGTGTGTGTGTGATAAACAGACAGTTTGAGAAAGTCTTATGATTAACAAAGACAGAGTCTACGCTTCCTTCAGTGTCTTGTCAGTTCACACAGAACTTGGACAAAATGTCTTCTTCTGCTTATCTCTCTGGAATTCACTGCAAAAAGAAGTGAAAGTCCAGTTTGAGCCCACTGGGACATTTTAAACAGCTTTAGGTCCTGTTCATGCTCAGACTGTTAACATGAGGTTTTCTGAGCTTTGTGTCACAG